AGGGAAGTGCTGCCCGTAAAATGTGCTCTGGTCCTGGGAAGTCGCACTGACTGTCCCTTGGTGTTTTTGCTGCAGTGTTTTGAAGGGCTCTGAGATCATATAAGGCCATGTCAGGGCTGACGGGCATTTAACAATGACTTCTGATGAAGGTCAAGGTTTTTAAAGCATTAATAAGGATGAAATTTTATATAGAACTCTACTATGTAGAGTGTAGTGGGACTGCTCCAATGGATGTGTGGGAGCGGCTCCCCAAGGTGGCCACCAAAGGGCGCAGAAACCCCAGGGCTCCCCTTAGGCAGGGAAATTGCAGGTGGGGAGCTGAGGACAGACACCCACAGTCCCCAGGCGGCGACTCTCTGGGCTTCCTGCCGCCCTTGGTGAAGGGGAGTGCGACACCTGCCCGGGAGCACTGGGGAGACTGAGATCTGAGTGGGGTTGCAGAGAGCACCTCCCACTGCTGGATGCCCTTGGAGAAAACAAAGGGCAGACATGCCAAGCCAGGCCGATGACCTGCAGCGCGGGCAGGTCCCAGAGGGGCCACAAGAGGCAGTCTGCACCTGCCCCACCACGCACCTAGAGGCCACCTTGCTACAGGTGGAGGGGAGGGGCTGCAGAGGCGGGACGGGAGCGTGCAGCTGAGGAGGGGGCGGGGCCGGGGCAGCCGAGGGCAGAGCGGGGACGCACGGGCGCCCCAGGTGGGGGCTGGCGTCCGCCTTCTTTTCCAGAGGCGGCAGGAGCCACTGATGCTCTTGGGGCCTTACATCCTGACCTGTGTGAGTGCCAGAGGGTCGCCCGTAGGCTTGCTGCGAGGAGCGGGGCCTGGCATGGGCCCGTGTGGGACACCACGAGGGTGTTCAACAGATCGGGCATTACGCCGCGAGCTCCCGACCCCAGGCAGGGCGGGGGTCTGGCCTCTCCAGAGGGGGGAGGTCCCAGCGCTTGGCAGTGGCTGTGGGAGCGAAGCCAAGGGGTGCTCCCCACTCCGCAGCCAGCGCTGGAAAGACAGGGGTTAAGTTTTACTGTTGTTTCCACAGGACCCCGCACAAGTCTGGCACCGACAGCTGAGCTGTTCACTGCGCGAACAAGTGGCGGTGAGATTTTAGTTCAGCCTTGTCTACGTGCAATCTGTTCCGGCCTCGCCCCCCTGTCACGGAGCAGGGGGCAGCCACGTGGCACGCCCTTGTCCCAGGGAAGGCACAGCTACTGAGCCTTGGGCTCCAGACGTGCTGGGTGGACCGGGTGGGGACAGGGGCACCTGTGCTGCGGGTCCTCCGCGGGGGGCCCGGCGGGCCCTCCCTGGGCAGGCGTCCTGCCACGTGCGCTCATGCGGGGACCCGGGCTCTGGGGGATGCTGCCTCAGCGCAGGCTCGCTCCCCCACATTCAGGCTTGTTCTTTTCTGATTGGCCGAGAGGCTGCAAGTGCCAGAGCAAGTGGAGGGCTCTGTGCACTGAAGGCATCTGGGAGCGCAGAGCTAGACAGACAGAGCCAGTCGTTCAGGCCACTGCCAGGGGCGGCCTGTGCCCTAGGGCTGCTGCGCTGAATTCACCAGGCCAACCAGTAGTACACCCTGCGAGTGAGGACCAGGGAAAGGCACCTGCTGGGGGGACAGCAGGTTATGTGGGCCCCAGCTTCTGGAGCCTCTGCCCACATCTGTGCTGAGTGCTGGCTGCAGGGGTCTGTCTGTGCCCCTTCTGTCCTAAGTGACTCAGAAAGAGCCTGGGGTCCATCCATGTCTGACCCCTCCTGTTTGTGGGGGAGGGGAGGCCTGGGGTTGATTTGATCAGGTTCCCCCCTGAGAAGCTGGGGCTGGAAGCTTTATTTTAGGGGCTCAGAATGAGGGTGGGAAAAGCCAGTGTGGGGTGGCTCCATGCCAAAGCAGGGCAAGGAATCCTAAGGGCCGATCTGCAGGGGAGCTGAGCCCAATCTAACCAGGGCCTCCAGTGTGTGAGCTGCAGGGTCAGGAGGAGAGCATTCAGGACTGAGCAGGCAGGGCCCAGACCAGGGTCCGTGCAGCTGCCAGCGGGCACAGAGGCCTGGCTGCGCCCGTTCAGCTTCACTCTGTCTGGGATCCTGGGCCAGGGCTCCAGGACGCTGTCAGACCAGTGCGGGAGCATCCAGATGGGAGGGTGCCAGGTTAGCACGTGCCTCGCCCGTAGCACCCTGCATACCTTCTATTAAAGCATCTTCACAGCAGGAGATGCCCACAGGGGCCAGGGCTGTGGCCATCAGCTTCTTAGGCCTATACACGCAGCGCAGGGACTGGGCACCCATCAGTCCCCAGGACCGGAGATGTGGAGTTAACAAAACGTATCAGCAAGTTCAGCTCGGTAGTGAACTGGGCGGATTCCCAGTCAAGACTGGGTTTCTCTTCCTTCAGAAACCATCCCTGGCCCATCCAGGTGGAGGCAGCTTGCCTAGACCCGGTAAACATGACATCCTGTTAAGTCTTCACCAGATATCAGCCAGTCCAGTCAAACTGCCAGCCCCGTGGAGGCTTTCCAAGTGGGCGCCCTGCCACAGGCCTGGTAGGTTTGAGTAGGAGCTTCCCATGGCCCTGAATGCCAGCTGGACCTGGTCACAGAAGGGGATGGGGCAGGCCTCTCCTGCTGTGGCTCTGTGGGTGCCATGGAGCACCCAGCTCAAGGAGGCACATGGGGCGGCTGTGGGGCCATTGTGTCACTCAGATTTAGAAAAGAAAAAGTCATGAGTGTGTGTGGACACATGCAGGCCAAAGGAGCAGGACCTGCTTTTCCATGCAAGCCACACTCCCGCTCTGGAGGTGAGTGAAGCATCCTCATGAGCATACGAGATGAAGCACGTGACCTTAACGAGAACTTGCACCTGAGATGGGCCGTGCCAGGCCGCCTGCTACAGCCCACCCTGCTCTGCTCTCTCGTGCCAGGAGGGCTGCTTGCGTGAACACACTGAAGGGGCTCCAGTGGTGTTCTGGGAGAGTGGCCCAGAATGTGTGGGCATGTCCACTGGTTTTATAATCTTGCACAATTCAACACCTGAGCCAGGAACTGGACAATTTGGAATCCATGTAGGATCTCATTTTCAGGAATTCTTAGACACTGGATGAATCCTAGGTCTGATTCTGCCACTGACTGACTCTGTGGTGTTGGTCAACTCCCTTTTCCTCTGTGAAATGGGAAGGATGGGCTGTAAGCCTCTCTAAGGTTCCTTTCAGCCTTACGGTGTGTGTTAGGACTTTATTCCCTGACCAGGTGGGTATAATTCACAATTAAGCTAAGACTTATCTAGATCCCACTGAAATGTGTTCTGAGCACACTTTCATATACAGTATCTATCTGGGGGTCTCAAAACCCCAGGAAGGTTAGGTGCTATTATCTCTATTTTGTAAATTACAAAACAAAGGCTTGCAGATGTTTGGTGTCACCTGAGGTCACACACACAGAAGGGCGCAGAGCTGAGGTTCCGTCTCAGGCCTGCCTCTGGCTCCGGGAGAGCACAGTGAGGGCTCAGCGGTGACTTGGCTTGCTCTCCCCCAACCCTCGCTGCTCAGCCCTGCGCTCTGTGTGGGGGCTGGGGGAGGAGGCGGGCTTGGGCAGGGGGGTGCAGGCCACTGGGAGGCACAGCTGTCCTTCGACAGGCAAGGGAGGCCATGTCCTGGAAGGGTGGTGAGGGCCGGTTACCCAGGGCTGAGAGCAGGTGGGCCCAGCGTGGGTCTGGCCCCGCCAGGGAGCACTCCAGGCCCCACGTGCGCTGCAGGCTTAAGGAGCTCTGTTCTGCCATCTGGGAGCACCTCCCTGCCATGTGGCCTGTCACCCACTGGGCCCCACCCTCACATCCTCCTGTCTACATTCCCAGCCTGCAGGCATCAGCTCCCTGCACCAGAAGGCCGAGAGGTGTGCTGCAGAGGCTGAGTTCGGATCTCTGTCCTGACCACTAGCAGGGCCACGGTCAAGCCAGGCTTTTATTTCAGCCAATCCAGTCACCACCAGTCTGCAGGCAGCAATGGCTTCTGAGAGCTTCTCGTCTTCTAGGAACCTTGAGGTGGCCTCAACTGCTGGGATGACCCTGGGCAAGCAAGGTCCTCTCCCCTGGCCTGGGGCCCTCACCTAGGCAGTAAGCAGCTGCTGGGCCCGGGGGCTCGGGTCTTCCCAGAGCACATTCTGGGACCCCCTGCCTTTGACTTTACTTTCCCAGGGGCAGGCGACAGGCCAGGTGCCTTTGCAGAGTCCATCGCGGTTAAAAATGGTTCTTTCGCTCCCCGGGTGCCCCGGCCCCGGCGGCCAGCGGCTGCAGGTGCTCGTGGCTCCCTCCACCCGGAAGGCGCAACGCCACCCGCCCAGGTCCCAGGCCCACCCAGCCTGCCCTTTGCCTCACTCACAGATCCGGAAACGCGGGCGCCGCGCCAGTGCCTGAACTGCGGCGGCGGCGAGCCACAGGGGGAGGGGAGGAGACGAGCGCCCACCGTCCCGTGGCCTCCGCGGAGCCCCCAGCCCCCCCACGGGAGGACCACGCTCTGCTGCTCGGCCTGGGGCGGGCCGGGCGCCCATCGCCAGTCCACGGCACCGGACGGGGCGCCGCGACTCCGCAACCCCACGACCTGGCCGAGAGCGCGCGCGCCGCCCTTCGCTCCGACTTCGGTGAGACAGGGGCCGCGGCTCGGGCGCCTCGGCCTCCGCCCCCCGTGCCGAGCGCGGGGAATCACGCCGCCCCGATCGCGGCCCTAGGGCGCTGGGGGTGGGAGACGGGGGCACCGTTTCTGGCTGGACGTGGGCGCACATCCCTGGTCTCTGGTCCGCGCGACCCCGTCTCCGCCCATCTCCGCGTCGCGGACCCTCCGTCCCCGCTCCCACGGAGCCCGCACACCTACTCCCCGCGCGCGGTCCCTGCCCCTGCCCGCCGCCGGGCCACCCGCCCCAGGCGCCGGGAGCAGGGGGCCGACACTGTTGCCCTCGGCCGGCGGGGGGCCCTGCGCGCCGAGAGCCGCGGCGGGGGCGCGGGGAGGTCAGACGCGGCGCTGCCTCACCTGTTTCTCCAGGGGCTCCTTGGACGAGAGCGCAGGCTTGGGGGAGGGCGCGCGGTCGCAGACGCAGCCCTCCAGCAGGTAGAGCCCCGAGGGCCGCGAGCTCGAGTCGCTCTCGAAGTAAAAGAGCAGGTTCTGCAGCAGCGCGAACCACTTGGTTTGCCATTTTGTGTTGTCCGAACTCCGCTTGCTCAGGTAGCCTTTGCGCGTGCCGTCCTTGCGCGCCAGCAGCCCCAGGGACGCGACGTGGCCATCGTTCAGCCGGATCCCCTTCTGCATGGTGCTCGGAGGCCAGCGGGACCCCGCGCGCTTACATCTTCCCCGCGCAGCCCCGGCGGCCCCTGTCCGTGCGCGCTCCGCGCTCCGGCGCTCGCGCCTGCTCGCCCTCCCCTCCCCCCAGGTAGGAGCACTCGGGGGTCTGGCGCGGGGCCGCGGCTTCGGGAATCCGAACGCACCACGCCTCCCAGGACCCCGGGGCCGGGAGGCGCCGCCGGACCCTTTCCCGGCGCGGGGCGCGCTGAGGGCCTGGCGAGCTGCGCGCTGGCAAGGGGCAGGCGGAGTCATGTGACGCCAATCCCTCGAAGAGCCCGTCCCGGCAGCGCGGACAGACACACGCACGCGGCCCGCCGAGGCGCAGAGCGGCGCGCGGCCCGCACCTTGGCGCCTCCCCCTCCCCGGACACACGCGCACGCACAGGCACACATCCTGCCCCCCCTCCGCTCGTGTCCCCTTCTCCCTTCGCGCGTTAAAAAGCAAATCGGATCAGGTTTCGTTTAGCCCGATGGAACCCCCGAGGCTCGGCGTCCCGGGAGTGTGCGTCTTTGCGCGCCACCGCAGCGCGCTGTCGACCCGGGTCAAGTCCCGGTTGTCGTCTCCTCCCCCAAAGGCTCCCGCCCGGTACTTTATTTTTCTCTCCCGAGGTGGATGTCAAAATGGATCTCAATGAGCTTTCAGTCCTAATCTTTGGGTACTTGGCCGGGTCACGTCCATTTCAGCATATCCAGCCCCCTCCCGATGCGACCTGAGGACGGACACAGGGGTGCGGTGGGGGAGGTGAACGTTTATTTCATTTTGAGCGTTGCCATAATTACCGGCGCCACCCCCTGCGACCTGAGGTCTGGCAGGCGAGCCGCTGCTGGGTTTTCTGCAAATACCCCCCAAAGCCTAAGGGCGGGCTTCCAACGCAGGCGCCGGGGACCATGGGAGCCTTCAAATAGCTGCGCTGGCGCAATGATACCTTAATGATAGATTTTCCGTTCTTATTTTTAGCTCCCATTCGCCTACACAGTTACACGGCATTTATCCGAGAACGTCACAGCGCCCGCTTGCTGCACCCGGAGGCGCGCGGGCGCCGGGGAGCTGCCGGGCACGGAGCGGGGAGCGCGCACCGCCGGTTGCGGCAGAGGGCAGCGGCCTGGGCCTGGCCGGCCGGGCAACGGGCGCGCGGCCAGGGAGGCAGAGAGGGCACCATCTTTCGGTCCTAACCTGCGGACAGTCCTCCCGGACGCACGCACACACACCCGGGGCGGGCGCAAGGGAAGGCGCCTGGGGGGTCAGGCAGCCCAGGGTGGGAATCCACCAGGAGCCCCCTGCGGTGAGGGGTCGGGGCCCATGGCCGGGGCAAGGGCTCAGGCCCGCGTCCGGTGGAGGCCCTTCTGGGGCTCTGGCCATGGAACCTCAGTCTTCCCTCTCATGGCCGGCTCGGGTGGACTCTAAGGACCCAGGGACACTGATTATTCATCACAAAAATGAGGACAGGGGAAGATGCCTCTTCATTTTGTCTTTATTTTCCAAGAAGCCCCTGCACCAGGACCCCTTTGCTTCTCATTTGCCCTCTTTATGGGAGCAGGGATCCCAGGGCTGAGGGTGGTACCCAGACTGTCCGTCGGATCTCTTGTTAGGAAGGCTGTGAAAGGACAACAGGAGCCCCAGGCAGGGGGCACTTCCCAGGTGCCCCCTTGACCTTAGGTCAACTGAGTTGACCCTTGAACAGCACAAGTGTTGAACATGGACTTTTTTTTCAGTAAATACATTGGAAAAAAATTTGGACTTTTGCAACAATTTGAAATGTCCAAAAGAAAATAATTTTCTATTCTCTAGCTTACTTTATTGTAAGAATGTAGCATATAATACATATATAAAACATGTATTCATAGACTTTATGTTATGAACGAGTCTCCCAGTCAAGTACAAGCTTTGGGGGAGTCAGAGTAATATGTGGGTTTTCCACTGAGAGAGTCAGCTCCCCTAGCCCCCTGAGTTGTTCAGGGGTCAACTGTAATTGACCCTAGGGAGTAGGTCATCTCCCCATTGTACAGATGGGGGAAACCGAGGCATGGAGTCACTCAGCTAGGAAGTGGCCAAGGTGGGGTCTGACTGGGGACTCTGTCCTCACTGTCTGTGTAGAGCTGAGTGGGTGGTCCCTGGGTTCAAGAGGGTTCACTTTTATCCTAAAAGGGAGGCAGGATCTCTCAGGTGGGTGCTTAGACCTGCCCAAGCGGTCCTTCTCCACACAGCCTCCATCCACAGGAGGAAAGCCATTTTCCCTGGGTCTGGGAAGAGGTTCTGATGAGAGGTATCAGTCAGAAAAAGAACTGAATTTGCTCCAGTGGCCCCAACCCTGGTGCACTTCACAACCACTTGGATAGAGTTTTACACTCTCTGTGCCCTGGCTGCCTCCCAGGCTAGTTAAACCACAGCCTCCAAGGTGGGGGGTGGAAGGCTGTGCTCTAGGACTTTGGAAGCTCCCAGGTGATTCCAGAACCACTGGTCTAAAGCTTGGCCCAGAGCATCCCCTGTCAAGCTCTCCTCCCCACTGCTGGCTCTGGTGAGGTTGAACAGCCCCTTTCGCTGGCCCTGGTGTTCCTGGTGGTGAGCGGTGTGCTGTGCCGTGACTGGCAGAGCAGAGGTGGCACATGTAGCTGCCACGTGTATGGCCCACCAGGCCCGAGGCCGACCCTCCCCGAGGTGCAGAGGGCTCCCGAGGAGCATCTCCGGTGCATCTGGGCCTCACCTTGTTTCATTCCATCTCCACACAAGGCTTCTGGACAAGGATTAATAACCCCATTTCACAGAGGGAGATGCTGAGGTCCACGGGGGCCTTAAGGGACGAGCTAAGATGGGGTGTCCTGACGCCCCCACAGACTCGTCCCAGATGACCCTGCTCTCTGCATTTTTCTCCATCCAGCTTTCTGGGCTGAGGTCTTTGCAGATAAGAAAACAAAATTCAGGAGTATTTTGGTGTGTTTGATGTTTGCACTGAGAGATGGTCACCTCGTGGGAGGGCCTTGTCTGCCCACAGTCCTGCAGAATCTGCATTGGGGGTTCCTCCCGGCCTTCAGACTGGAGCTCAAGTCAGGTGTTTGTGGAGGGGTGTTTGGGCCTGGGGTGTGTGTAAGTTTCTGAGTGTTGTGGTGTGTACACCAGAGGTGTGTGTGTGGTGTGTGTTGGGTGGGGGAGGGGGAATTGGGGTAGAACATTTAGAGAAACTTTGCTTTCCTGGCAACTTATTCCAAAAAGGAAAATGTAGCTGCCACGTCACAAAAAAAACTGAAGAACTAGGTATGTGGGGTCAGAAGCATTTTAGGACATGGAGGCTTTGCTCATGGGAGTTTACCACCCCAAGTCTGGGTTCACGGCCGGCTTTGCCCCCACATGCAACACCGGAGGTGTACCCCTTTCCTTTCTAGCTGATGAAAACAGCCATGTTATTCTGTCTGATTATAAGTGCAAGGCAGGCTTTTTGTAAGACATTAAGACAATATAGAAAATAGGTAACACCCCCAGTGAGGTTTTTTTTTGTTTTTCTGTCTAAATTCTTCAGCAGAGGCTATTTTATGATCTCCTTCTCTCTCATTCTCTTCATTTAACAGGACATGGGACATTTTTTTCATATTACTACAAATTTAATTAGCAGTCTTTTCGATTGGGCATTTAGGTTGTTTCCAATTCATAGTTTTTGGGAAAACTATGTATATGTATAGACAATGATATTAATTTTTTTGTACATATCTTTGTATATGCATCTCCCTGCCCTGGTCTACATTCTTTAAAGTAGCATTTCTGGGGTCAAGGAGTGTGCATTTGAAGCACTGGCACATAGGGATGGATTTCCAGAAGGAGCTTTGATTCCTTCCATGGCTCTTGGCGGTGGAGGCGCAGCCCATTTCTCCGTCCACCTGTCAATCCTGGGTAGTGACATTATCAATCTCTTACTATTGGCCCATTTTGAGAGGGCAAGAATGACACTCCTTTCTTATATGAATTCTTGTTTCTTTTATTGCTTATTGCTTATGAGGTTAGACATTTTTATATTTATAATATTTGCATTCCATCTTTTGTGAATTTCTTGTTAATATCTTTTTTTCGATGTGTTTAAATTTTCTTGTAGATTTATCCCAGTGCTTTTAGATGGAGGGATATTTGCCCATCCACTAATGTTGCCAATAATTTCCAGTTTGTTGCTTGTCTTTAACCCTGTATGTCTGTGCTTATCTACTGTGTATGTCTTTATATGGATTGTAAGAAATTTTTAGACTTGATTGCAGGCAAGTCTATATTTGTGGTTTCTGATTTTAGACTCCCCCTCTTCTACCCCCTGTCCTTGTGCCAGTTCCTTTAAGACTGAAATGTATTTGCCCATATTTTCTTCTCTGTTTTTATAGTTTCATTTTTTCATTCATAATTTTAATTCAGTTGGAGTTTATTTTTTAGAGTGAGATTGGAATCTGGATTATTATTAATTTTTCCCAAATGTCCGGCGAGTTGTCCCAACACCACTTGTTTGAATAATCGAAGCCACTGATGTGAAGCATCACCTTTATCATATACCAGGTTCTTATCTGGACTTGGGACAATTTCCAGCCACTTCCTGTCACCCCGGTGTTCTGTCTGTTCTGTCAGAGACACACGATTTTATTTCTTCTTGTTTTACCATCCACTTCCCGTACCGTCAGGGACACCTCATCACCTTTCCTTTTTAGGGTGTTTCTAAATATTCTTTTTTATTTATTCTTCAAGACTTATTCATTACATGTCCATGTACCTCAGTAAAGAAAAGATTAATTCATGACTCATTTTTCAAGTTCCGGAGAAGTCTCACTGACAGTTTCCCTCAGTAACCATACTTCTTAATTTAGGAGGAGCTGACAAACTCTCACAATATTTTGTTTTCTTATTCAAGAAAAAAAGTGCATCACCCCAATTCTTTGTCCTTAAAAACCTTCTGGTAGAATTTGATACATTTGTTTACATGTGACCCTGACATTTCTTGTTTAATTTATTTCTGGTGTTCTCTGTTCTGTGGTTGCTAATGGAAATTTGATCTTTTTATCTATTTTTGAAAAACTGGACATTATTGGCATATAAGAAAGATATTTCTATTTACATATTTATTTTGTAAGCCACTACTAACCTGAATTTTTCTAAAAATATTTGATTTATCTATTTGGGTTTGCCAATTAGATAATCAGAATGTATTTCCCCATATTTAGGCATTTTCAGATTTCTTAGATAAACCCTACTTAGCTGTGGTGGATTTTTACACTATCATTAGTTTATCCCTCCCCAAATCAATCCTGGTGATTTATAATTTCCAATATGATTTATTTACACTCCCTAATTTATTAGAAATATTCACTTACAATTTTTCTAATTTCCTCCATCTGTGTTATTCCTGTTTTGTGCTGATTTTGTGTTTTTGTATTATCTATCTTTTCTTGCAAGGGTTTTATTATATCATTATGATTGTGACTTTAAATTTATTTGTTACTTCTACTATTTTTTAAGTCATTAACGTACACCTATATCTTTATTAAATTCTTTCTTCTGTTTTCTTTAGATTTGTTTTGTTGTTTTCCCTCAAGTTCTTGAACACTAAATTTACTTATTTTTATTGTGTTTTTAGTTGCAATTTCTTCTGGATCCAATAGGACTGCTGCATAAACTTCTGATCACCACTATATTAAAATATTGTGAAGTTAATTTACTTTTACGTGGATAGTGTTCAAAGTTTAACTGAACAGTTTCTGAATTTCCGTGTATACTTTTGGCTCGCTTTGACTTACTCCTGGTCGCACTGCATCGCGCTGGGACAGTGGCCTGTGCTACTTCTACAGTTTGGAATTTACTGCTGTTTTTGTTGTGCCCTGTATATGGTCAGTTTTGTGATTGTTCCACAGGCCCTGGGAAAGACGGCGCACACTCTGTTCACAGGGCATAGAGTTTCACAAGTAAGTAGCAGCTCAGTTTATCAGTTACATTTGTCATGAATGAATCTCTGACTCCGATCTCTGCTCAGGGAAGCTGGCAGCTGTGCACAGAAGCCACAGACATTTGTGCAGCTGTGAGCATCGGGGCCAGAGAAACCTGAGGCTCCCTTCTTCCGTGTGGCTGAGGCTCAGTGCTAAAATCCAGAGCTCAGGACAGAGCAGGAAGTAAACGCAAAGGCCCCTGAGCAGTGAAGAGGAAAACCAGTGTCCGCATGCCCTGAGCTCTGGCTTACCGGAGTCAAGCCCCCCGAGTCCTGGGACCATTCACAGAAGCACAGGACACTAGAGGTGAAAGGCACTTAGCAAGCCCCGTAGCCTACACACCCCACATCCCTTCATTCACGCCACCCACCAGCAGGAGCAAGGCTGAGGTCACCCAGGAGGCACAGCGGAGCTGGAAGCCCAGGTTCTGGCCCCTTTCCTGGGAAGTCATCATGCCTCAGAAGCTGCAGGAGCGTCCTGCCCTGGTCCCACTGCAGGCTCCTCTCTACGGAGCTCTGGTGGCCAGACCTCGGGAGAGCTGGGGGTATGTGTGTCTCCTTCTGATGCTGGGATGGGCAGCTTTCTTCTTAGTGAGAAAGCCACTGCTCCAATCCTACCCGGTGTCAGAAGCAATCCAGTCCTTGTCAGTACATGTCAGAGGACAGGAGGGCTGTTCCCGTCGTCTCCGGTGCATAAATGCCTGGCAGTGGTGGATTTTGGGATCCTTCATCAAGCAGGGCGGGGGCCGGGACTTGGCCTGTGGTATGGGTTACATCTCGTTTCGGGTCAGTCTTGTTGCAGGGAAATACTTAGTCAGGACCGACGGTCGGAAGACCGCAGTCCCGCAGAGCACAGGCCCACTGGTCTCCCCAGTGGCCTTGGGAGAACTGCTGCGCTTCCACAGGTCACAGTAAAATGCTCCGCCCACTGCCAGATGGCCACCAGGTCCCAGCCATCCAACTCTTGAATTTCTCCATTTCTCCTTTCCCTCCCATCCCTGGACTCGCAGCCCAAAACAGCCCCTTCACTGGCCCCCCACTGGAAGTCTGCTTTGTGTCTCCAGCTCTGACGACAATGATCCCCTGGAAGCCCTGAGTGGTTCCCGATCACTCCTAGAATGAAATTCAAACTCGCCGTTTGAAGGTGTCATTCGAGGCTCCCTCATTACCCGGCTCTCCGCTTTCACGTGCCCCTGGAGAGTTGGTGGTGAGCCGCGTGAGCTGCCCGGCCCACCCAGGCCATCCACACCCTGTGCCTGCGGGGGCTGCTCCCTCTGTCTGCAGTCTCTGCCCTCCTAGCAGCCGGTGTAAAGTCCAGATCTGCAGGGCCCTTGACCTCTGGCGATCTGACTGCTGCCCCTCCTTCTTGTGGCCATTGCCACACCTGAGTCGGATGCTCCTCCGATGCTTCTAGTCTTACAGCCGCAAGTGCAGTTTCCCGTCGGTTCTGATATTCTGGAAAAGCACAGGACTCTCTTCTGGTGAAGGCATGGGGCCACATGGTGTGGGTCAGCGTCAGACAGGGTATTGGCAGGAATCTGAGCTTAGCACACACTGGGTAACATTAATAACAAGAATATTTAGGACTTTGCATCATGGTGGAGGGAACCCCCAAAGGCAGGAGATTCTGGGAATTCTGCAATTTACCCCACAGCAGGTGCACGCTGAGAGCCAGTGTCACTCCAGTAGGCCTGGAGTTACAACGGCCTGAGGGCCAGGAGCTGTGACCCTCAGTGGAGGGACACAGACAGCCCACGGGGACCTGAAAGACGCCAGCTTCTCCTGCCCTCTGCATTGCCTACGAGCGCCTCCCACTGGCCAAGCCCAGCTGGAAGGCAGACAGGAGCCTGCTGATGGAGTCCAAAGACCAGCCCTTGGGCCTCGGAGCAGAGTGGAGGAAGGCGGCGGGTGGGACTGGATGGAAAAATGCAGGAGATCCGGCACCATGCAGGGACCAGACCCATGGGCCACCGGGCCCTGGAGGACCTTACAGCACAGGATGCTCAGGTTTGTGGAGGTCTTGGGGGAGGGGGAGGCCCCAGGGAACACCATTCACAGTGGTGGTACCCCTTGGCCAGCTGGCAGTGTCAGGGCTTGGGGGCAAACCAGGCCCCCTGCCTTGCAGAGCTGCGGGGAACTCGCCTCTCTCCGTTGCTGTGTGGCGTCCACTCCGTGGATCATCACCTCTCCAGCCTGCCCTGCAGCCAGCGCGGTGGGTGTGCACTGGCTGCGTGGCGGGAGGAGCTCCCTGGGGCTCTCGCCTCCCTGCAGGCAGGGACTGCAGGACTCAGAGCCCACCTGCTCTTCCTCAGCCTCACCGTGGGATGGACGGTCCAGGGCAGGTGGCCAGTGGGATGGGTACGTGGTCTTGTTTTTTGGCCAGCTCATATTCTCGCCTCTGGCAACAGTACCTGCTTCTGTTGGGCCCCCTTTTCCCACCTCTTAGTACACCTGGTTCACGTGATGAGCAATCCACCCTGGTCCAGGCCCGGCCCATCTGGACACTGCCTCCTTCTGACCTCAGGGAATTGATGAGGGATGGTCATGTGACCCCAGCCAGTCTACTCAGGGTCAAAGGAACCACACCCCAAGGACATTCCATCAGGGAATATGTATTCCCTTTTCTGCAGGGGATGCTGAAGCCATCTGATGTGTGCTGGGAGCAGCCAGTGGCCAGTCTCTCCGCCATCAGTGAGACTGAGCCAAGACGAGAGAGCAGAGAGGCAGACGGAAGGAGAGACTTCGTCCAAAGGGCATTTGACCACATGGAGCAGCTGTGCCTGAATCTGCCCTCCTGTTAGGTCAGCCAGTGAATTCCACTTAGTGGTCTAAACCAGTTGATTTTCTGGCATTTGCTTCCAAAAGAACCCTGTTGGTTCAGCTGGAAGGGAAGCGAACAGAACAGCTTTGCCTTCTGGGTCTGCCATGCGTGGCTGGAGCCGTCCAGCATGGAAGCTGCAGGTCCTCGGGGGCCCCTCTCTCTGCCAACCCCTTTCCAAAGATAAGGAAGTGGAGGGTCAGCATGGGGGGTGCAGGTGACTTGTGATGGTCCATGTGCCTGTGTGTACAGGTGTAGTGCTGGGGACAAGGTGATTCCTGGCCCGGGGGGGATCCCCTACGAAATGGTGAAACTGAAATAAGTCAAGGGAAAAGACAGGTCAGGAGAAACTGTTGATTGCGATCAGCTTGCTTGAATCTGCTAGCGAGGCCCAGCCCCTCCATCTCCTTCAGCCACCGCTCACGCTCTGCTGTCTGGGTGCACTCTCTACTTCCCACCTGCTGCTTCCAGGAGGAACTCCATTGACGGGTCCTTGGTGGCTGGCAGACACCAGACCAATTACATACCAGGAATGGAGGAGAGAAGAGAACGGCTGTTATCTCTCCACCCCTTGCCCCAGATCAGGACGCTCTGCGGTGGTAAACACCTATCGGTATGTAAATGAGCTAAGGCTAGGCTGGAGATTCTGGAAATTCTGCAATTTACCCCATAGCAGGTCATGTTCAAACGCAGCAAACTTCAGGGAGTCCACAGAGCTTCGTGTGGTGCGACGGCTGCCCATCTTGTGGGTGAGTCGCAGGGTGGAGAAAATGCCCTGGGTCCCTGAGGCAGTGGGATGCTTGTCTGCCCTAGGGTGGCAGACATGGCAGAGCTATGTGGGGAGCGATGACATGCAGGAACCCAAGGGCAGACCCCAGAGTTGTCAAAATGAAGGCTGAGCTTTGGGCACATCTGTATTTTTTCTGGGTTACTGGTTGCAGCTATCTGTCAGGGAAGCAGGTTGAATCTGCTAGCAGATTTTTAGTAACTATGGTGAGACTTGGGACCTCCCAGTCTTTGACCAGTTACTTAATCCACTGCAAGTCTTTGCAGGAGATAAGAGGCTTGCGCTTCGACTGTAGGAACCCTTCACGTCCTATTGATGTTTCCTGGTGAGCGTTCTGGTGCACGGCCACCTAAGTAAAAGCGTGGAAGTTCCCTTTTAGAGGGCTAGACCCCAGCATTTCTGAGTCAGCTCAGTGAGGGGGGTATGGGCAGAGGGGAGCCTTGTGACCCCCCTGGAGACCAACACTTTCCTACCAGCTTTATGGACCCCTGGGACTCAACTTCTTATGGTCACTGGGTTCTTGCTGTGTCTGGTTGTAAGGATCTGCCCACACTGCATCTTTCCTTTAATCAGATGGTTTATCCTTCCCCTCCCCTCCCCCTTCCCCAGGGCCACCTGAGTGGGTCACAGGATTCTGACGTCTCAAAACTGAGCTCTCCAGGTCTCTCTACTGGTCACTCTGCTTCAGGTTGCCAAGTGATGACCGCAAATCTGCACAGAGTGAGTCAGCATCCAATACTCAGGCCATAAAGTTGTACGTGCAAGTAGTGCATTTCCCTAGAATTCAGCTTCATTTCTATTTTGAGCCTGATTCTGAAGGGAGACAGACAGTAAATCCAGTTGGTTCCGTTTTTCTATTTATTCAGCTTCACTTCCCTTTTCTTTAGTATTGTGTCTTGGTTCTGGTGGGGGTGGGCTATTGGAGACCAGGTACCCGAGGGCGGGGGTCCGCAATGTGTGGTCACTGTCACTGGCATGCTGAGCATCCTGGCACCCTCAGTCCTGCTGGGACCTTGGCCCACACGTGCTCATCGCTGAGCCTCCTCACTGCTGGCGGCAGGGCTTTTCCATGCTGCTTATTCCCAGCAGCTTCTGGACACCTCCAGGCAAGAAACATCTGTCTCCCTCACCCCTGCCCTGCTCCTCTCCCTGGGGAGTGGAGAACTCCACCGCTTCCTGGGACCATTGCCTAGACACTCTACAAAGTCAGCTCTGCTCTCCACCAGCCATGCTTGGCCAGGGGGATTTCTCCCCAAACCCCACCTGGAAGCGAAGCATAGGATTCCTTCAGTCATGCATTGCTGGTGGGAATGTGAAATGGTCAGATACTCTGGAAAAGAGTTTTGGTGGTTTCTTACATGACTATACATGTGCTTATCATATGACCCAGAAGTTATACTCCAGAGCATTAATGCCAGAGGAATGGAAACGTATGTCCACATGAAACTCTGTGTAGCAATGTTTGTAGAAGATCTATTACAACAACCCCAAACAGGAAACATCCATACTGTCCTTTAATAGGTAGACAACTGAACTGTGATTCATTCATACTGTGGAATACTATGCAGCAATAAAATACAACAAGTCATTGATATATCAAACAACCTGGAACTTGGGAGGTGCTGTACTGAATGAAAAAAGCCATTTTCAAAAACCACATTCTCTATGATTCCACTAAAGAAAACTCTCAAAGTGACAAGGCTGTGGAAATGGAGAACTAGTTGGTGTCTGCCAGAGCATCTGAATGGGAGGCGGCATGAGAGAGGGCTTTGCAGGTGTGAAATAGCTCTAACCCTTGATTATAGTGGGGGTGCATAAATCTACAATCTGATGAAATGGCACAGAACTACGACTGTCCCAGGACTGATTTCCCGGTTTTGATATTGTAAGAGAGTCACCCAAGATATAACCACTGGGGAAGCTGGTGAAGAATACACCAGATCTCTCTATAATATTTTGCAAACTCCCATGAGTTTATGACTTCACAATAAAAATATTTCAAGTTAAAAATATATGTGTACATACACAAAAGTAAACTCAAAATGGATCAAAGACCTGAATGTAAGTCATGAAACCATATAACTCTTAGAAAAAAACATAGGCAAAAATCTCTCAGGCATAAATACGAGCAAGTTCTTCATGAACGTATTTCCCTGGGCAAGGAAAACAAAAGCAAAAATGAACACATGGGACTATATCAAGCTGAAAAGGACACCATCAATAGAACAAAAAGGTATCCTACAGTATGGGAGAATATATTCATAAATGACAGATCCGATAAAGGGTTGACATCCAAAATATATAAAGAGCTCATGCAACTCAACAAACAAAAAGCAAATAATCCAATTAAAAAATGGGCAGAGGATCTGAACAGACACTTCTCCAACGAAGAAATTCAGATGGCCAACAGGCACATGAAAAGATGCTCCACATCACTAATCATCAGAGAAATGCAAATTAAAACCACAATGAGATATCACCTCACACCAGTAAGGATCGCCACCATCCAAAAGACAAACAACAACCAATGTTGGTGAGGATGTGAAGAAAGGGGAACCCTCCTACACTGCTGGTGGGAGTATAAATTAGTTCAACCATTGTGGAAAGCAGTATGGAGGTTCCTCAAAAAACTCAAAATAGAAATACCATTTGACCCAGGAATTCCACTCCTAGGAATTTACCCTGAGAATGCAGGAACCCAGTTTGAAAAAGACATATGGGCCCCTATGTTTATTGTGGCACTATTTACAATAGCCAAGAAATAGCTTAAGTGTCCATCAGTAGATGAATGGATAAGGAAGATGTGGTACATATACACAATGGAATATTATTCAGCCATAAGAAGAAAACAGATCCTACCATTTGCAACAACATGGATGGAGCTAGAGGGTATTGTGCTCAGTGAAATAAGCCAGGTGGAGAAAGACAGGTACCAAATGATTTCACTCATCTGTGGAGCATAGGAACAAAGAAAAAACTGAAGGAACAAAACAGCAGCAGAAGCACAGAACCCAAGAATGGACCAACAGTTACCAAAGGGAAAGGGACTGGGGAGGATGGGTGGAAGGGAGGGATAAGGGGGAAAAAGGGGCATTATGATTCCCACACATAATGTAGGGGGTGGGGCGGTGGGGGTGGCAGGGCACGGGGAAGGCAGTATAACACAGAGAAGACAAGTAGTGACTCTATAGAATCTTACTATGCTGATGGACAGTGAGTGTAATGGGGTATGTGGGGGGGACTTGATGATGGGGGAGTCTAGTAACCATAATGTTGCTCATGTAATTGTAGATTAATGATATCAGAAAAAAATATATATATATATATGTGTGTAGTAGAAAAAACTCACTCTGACCCACCATAAATGTTTCCAAATGTACTGTTTTTTACTTCAGGGCCTTGGCTTTAACAAATCAATTAAAATTTTATTTTATGAATTCAAATTCATGACATTTTCTTATTATGGATTACTGATTCAGAGAGATTATATTGCTGCTCTCCAGTGTGTTAAATTTTGTTCTGTAACATGTTAAAAAATTCGTGCTACTTTTTTATTATATGGTTTTCAAAGCTGTTGTTCATGTTTAGTGATAAAATGAACATAAGTAATTAAAAAGTTGGTCGCATCCCACCTTGCCCCATGTCCTCAATTCCATTCCCCAGAGGCAATTTCCCCCCGGCCATTCTGACTTCTTGCCCTGCATTTACCATGTCTGTAAGTGACATGTTCACATGGATATTGTATCATTTATCAATTACAGATATTATTGGATTATGTTTTGTTGTGGTAGAGGTGCACTTAACTCCCCCACACTTTTAATCCACGGCTGACAAATTCTATCACAATTTCGGTCAGTTGATCAGACAGTGCGCCCACCATCGCAAACAGGCAACTCCTGTTCCCTGCCGAGCCATGAGGTCTCCGCCCATTCAGTCCTTCGCTTGCCCTGGAGTTGACTGTTGCCTTGTTCTTCATTTGCCTGCTTCTCTCCCTGCTTATGGCCATAGGTTCCCCATGTGCTCCACTTCCTGGTCCCTCTTGGGCCGACTGTATACATTTTCCTGGGATTTCCCTTTACTGCTCTTCCGGGTTGGACACTCTGCTTCCTGGATCCTGTGTCTTTCTCTTTCTCATTTTACATTTGCTACCTAAGGAAAGGATGTGTAGGAGAATATAATATTTGTGTTTAGATATCTGGAAGTGTCTTTCTTTAATCTGCTACACTTCACTTGATAATCTGGCTGGGAATAGATGTTTAGGTTGAAAACGATTTTCTCACGGAAGTTTGGAGGCATTGCCGCACTGCTTTCTAGCAACTTGCTGCTGAGGACTCGGAAGCCACTCTGGTTCTTCGCCCTTTGTCGTCTGTCTTCTGCTCTTTGGAAAGCTTGTGGAGTCTTCCTTTGTCACAAATACCCTGAAATTCCACAGTAATGCACAGTTTCCAGGCTTTTGAATTTCAAAAAGGCTTTCTCAAGATCATGTATTTGCGATGAGTTCCAAATGCCTATTTTGTAACTCAAAAGCCAAGAATGACTCTTTTGTTTTCTGCTTTTTTTTCCCCTGTGCACTCATTCCCTGAGGTCATTAATGCCATTGGCTGAGTGGATGAAAGGCTGGGAGACACACTGATACACCAACAGGGAAAAGGAACTGTGATCCTGGGTCTAAGGACCCCACTGTGCGCCACTGTGAGCCACCAGTGAGAAGCTCCTGAGAGCAGGGAAGGGGCCTGAAGAGAATTAAAACCCAAGGAAAGCGAGCTAAGCCCTGCAGGAGAGCCAGTTTCAGAAGCAGTGTGCATTCATGCTCAGTGCATTTCTTGAGCTATTCCCTGGATAGAATTATATTTGGTTTTGAGCAATAGAGAATATACTCCAGTGTCTAAATACATAGGGTTTATTTTCTCACGTAGAGTAAGTCTGGAAGTAGGTGGGCCAGGGTGGTTACAGTGACTCATAGATGGGAGGGACCCAGTCTCTTTCCATCTTTCTTCTCCATCTTCATTAGCATGCTGCTGTTATCTCCATGGTCACAAGATGGCTGCTGGTGCTCTAGCCATCGCAGCCAAGTTCCAAGCAAGAAGACAGACAGGAAGAAGCAAAGGGATGTTCCCTGACTGTCCCACCCCTTTTAAGAAGTCTGATCCTGGTCTTACACCTAAACAACCTCCTCTTATATCTTACTGGTCACCACGCAAGGGAGGCTGGAAATACGTTCTTTCAGGTGGAGATACTGTTATAAAAGCAGGCTTCCATTACCAAGGAAGAAGGCAAGGCAGAGCGTGGGAAGAGCTCCAGCAGTCTCTGTGACCATGTTCTTCCCTCTTAAACCTCTCCAGCAGCTGAGATCTTCCTTGAGGCACAGGAGAGGGGCACCTCCATTTCCCTGACGTCCCAGCACCACAACTGCCAAGCCCTCGATGTGCTCAAAGACCTCATCAGTGTCCACATCTATTTGATTTTTGCTGAAAAGTGTTTTCCTCCCCAGACACTCCCCCATGTCTTCATACATTCAAATTCAGCCTTAGAGGCTGATGGAAACGACCTCCAGAATTCCTTCCCAACCCAAAGATTTCTCCCCTCCTCCAAGTTCCAGGCACTTTTTACAGCCACAATAGGATCAGGGGTCAGGGTGACCAGCTGGTCTTACCGGTCCAAGACCAAGGGGTTCACAGGACACAGGACTTTTGGTGCTAAGAGTGGGAAAGTTTGGGTAAACCCGGATGAGTCTGCCACCCCGTGGAGGACAGACACTGAGGCAGGAAGGGGAGTGATGGCTCCACACTAAAGGACCGTGGTCTTGGGCCTCTGACTCTCAGGGTCCGAATCTGTGAAATCAGTCTGGCAAAGTTCTGAGCAGATGAGAGATCTTGTATGTGAAGCTCTTTGCAAATGTGGAAATACACGAATGCGTGGCAGCCTTCTTTACATATCATTATTCCTTCCTGTGGTCTGGGCCACATTCTTTGGGCACAACTTGGTACTCTGTTTTCCCTCCTAGACTAAGAGCCCCATAAATCTGAAGGACCGAGCCATCTCTTTGTTGCCAGGAATTTGCTCCCCCAGGGTCACATGCAAGAACCATCCTAGTATTTTATTTCTGTAAAGCAAGTTACATATGGCTTTGAGTTCCCAACTACCATGGCTGAGTCACTGCCCTGGAGCACCCACCCCCTCCTTGGGGGCGGGGGAGGGGCCAGGATGGTCACACAGTCCAGGAACTTCAGAGGAGCTTGTGTTCTTCTGTCCCGTGTGGAGCTGGAGCCC